TCGTATAAATTTACTGTCATAGGTGACAGTAATGTGACCCACAGATCTACAGGACTTCTTTCTTTCCTTGTGTAGAGACCCTGTAAACTTTGCAGCACTCTAAGTCACCTGGAACTGGTCAACTTTGTAAAAGTTAGAGGGTGAGAAGACTTCCACCCTGCAGAGGCAGTGCAGAGGAAAGGACGGATGATCACTGGGGTGGCAATACACCACTGTAAAGGCCTGGAGAAGTGGAACCCTTAAATGCACACATGACTTCAGGCTCGCAAGTAGTTTCACTGAAGTGAAGGTGGATGAGTAGTAAAGGTGGATGAGTAGTAAAGGGATGTCGAACCCTCATGCGCTGTTTGTGTCTGTCCCACAGGAGAAAAACAGAGAGAGGGAGGAAGTCACGTGGAGGCGGTGCAGTTTATGTGATCATTTTGCTGTCCAGAGAACAATGTCAGGAAGAAGGATACACAGTAGACAGGGCTCCCCTAAGGAACTCGCCAGACCCTCCAGTTAACCCTGCACGACTGGAACCAAACGATACCCGATGGAAACTACTGGGGATGTGAATTAGCATTATCACTGGGCAAACTATCCAGTACAATCACTTTTGAAGTCATCTGTGTATCCTACTGCATGAGCTAAATTGTTCCCTTGTTTAGTCTTGGTTTATTGCATCTTCTTTCACCGATTAATGTGATTCATTCTTTTATTATGGTTATTAATTATGCATTCTTGTTTAATTTACAATAGTATTCTCATGCCTCAATCATGAGTCTCAGCGTGGAGCCTGAAGCACAGCTACAGACAACGTGTGCTCTGTGCTGAGCGACAGCTGATCACATAAAATACCGCCAGCCGTGGGAAAATCTCATTGTTCATTGCAATTCAAGACAGGAAATAGAAAACTCGGGAAACTGTCCATTTTCGGAAAACAAATTTTTTTCCAGAAAACAAACAAACAAAAAACCAAAACCAAAGCAAAACATGCAGCTCTCTGAAGCTACAGCTTCAGTATTAGTACTAGGCACAGTTTGGCACAGCATTTTCGTTCCTCTCAGCTGTTTGTGGTGTTAGCTTCTGCTGCGTTATGTAGGGCTTACCGAGAATTAAGAACGTGAAGCAGTATTGAAGCCTTCTGGTGAGCAGGTCAGATCCAGCTGCACAGAACACTGCTGCTCTTAGTAGGCTTTGGCCAAACCATGAATTCCTACTCAGGTCCTTGTTGTCCAGTAGTCCTAAGTCTCTTTTACTGCAAGTAGTATGTGAACAAATAAACCCTTCTCATATTTTGTGTATATATATATATATATATACACACACACACCATGACTTCATACACTTCATGTGCTAAATAAAGGCTGTACCTCCATATTAAATCTTGTTTTGCACTGCCTTGAGCTACTTTGTGATTGTCCTTTATGCAGTCCCAGTTTTATACCTTGTATTACGGACTTAATGATAAGTTTAAATTAGCTTGCCCTTTAGGTGATGAAAGTTACAGTGAAAAGCACTGATTTAGAGAGCTGGTCAAATTTAGGTATGAATTTTCTCTTTTAAATTAGGATTTCCCTGTACTGAACACATCACTAACTCTGCTTCACTTCCCTGCAAGGTATCCTGGGACAAGGTATACCTGCCTGGCATGGCTTTTGGGATCAAAACATCTATCAGAAAGTTCTCAGGACATTCCTTGTGCTCTGTCAGAATGACTGGCAATTCGTTTTGCAACCAAAATTCACGTGAGCCTGGGAGGGGGCGGTCAGGACAGACCGACCCAGTCCTCCACACCTGTGCTGGCAGAGGCAGGATTCTTGTCTGCATGCCATGGCTCTTGTTGCCTACAACACCAGGGATTTACCTGGCCCGGGCTGGCAATTGCTCTTCCACCCTGTGCCTTTTCCTGCTAGAACCTTCTGACTCACATGTTACGTACCCTGGCAGGTCTTTCATGTGGTTTGGACCACACCTGGTCTGTGCTCTTCGGCTCACTTGGATGCTGGACAGCTGGGTCTGACCAGGAGGGATAGAGAGGTCAGCCCAAAGACCTGTCCTTTCTCCTCAGCCTCATCACCTCTTCCTCAGCCCAGCTGAGGATGCAGGCCACTCTCTGAGTATATTTGTGCATTATTAGCACTTCTTTATTTACCTGTTCATAAAGAGAAAAAAAGGTAATATGGATTTATTCTAATTTTAGTTTTTATTAACCTTTTCAGAAAACTAATAATTTGATAACATACAGAAGTAATATACTGGACCCCTCACAACAGAGAAGGAGCCAGGTACAATAAACACGTTATCAGCTGTGACTCATTCATTTAAGACAAGCTCTCTCTCTTACAGAAGAAATACGATAACATAAATTTGTGCTCTCTCCACTTTAAAATACCTTTCTAATTTTCATAAATCCCCTGGCAAAGTTAACTATTGTCACACTCCATGTCAGGAAAACATAAATGGGTTTTAAACGCTATTATCGCAACAACACTCCTTAATTTGCTTTCTTTACCTTTTAAACAACTCTGATTATTCTATCAGCAGGGCAGATTTTACAGAAATAAACCAGGATGAAAGAAGAATGGTGTGCCTTTCATCATTTTCTTTGTAGTGATGTGACGCTGGAAACAGCTATAACGTAAGTACAGAACAAACAACGGTTTAAGCATGTCACCGATGTAATAACAGAGCACAATCACTAAGGAATACTTTGTAAATGTTGAAGATGCTGAACAGACTAATCTTCAGCACTTCAAACCTGGACTCCGAGCAGGCCTTCTGCAAATAACCTGAAAATTGACTCTCTGCAGTAACAGTTCCCTGAAGAACTGAAGACATTTTTTCAGAAAAGGGCTCCACAACTTTACAACTGAAGACGTTTTTCAGAAAAGGGCTCCACAACTTTACAGAGGCTGAACAATATGAAATAATAAACATTTATTTAGTAAGGCACGTTTTAAGGTATTTGACACTGTTGGTGCTGTATTTTAGGAAGTCCTAGACCACTGAAGCTTGACTGAAGCAATGGCTTATCACACACTTGGTGTATGTCCATGTCCTGCATTAGCCAGCAGGGTTTTGGTTTTTTTGTTTTTTTCCTGGAAAAAACCCAAAATGCTTCAAGCACAAGTGCCACATTCGTGCTCCTGGGGAGCGGAGAGCGATGCGGATGCAAACCGCAGGCACGGAGCTTGTGCCAGATGCAGGGCAGGGATAAGTCATCTTCCAGAGCCACAGCCTCACAGAACGGTTCGGGATGGAAGGGACCTTCAGCGGTCACCTGGGCCAGCCCTGCTGCAGGGAGCAGGGACATCTGCAACCCGACTAGGCTGCTCGGAGCCCCGTCCAGCCTGACCTGGAACGGTTCCAGGGATAACTCAAGAAATGAATGAAAAAACCACTCTACCTGGAGGCAGCAGAAGACCAATGAATTCCAGGTGCAGCTGGAATAAAAATATTATGAAACCGTGCAAGTAGGTAGAGGTGCCCGCACCAACACCTCCAGTCATCAAAGAGGACAAGCAACCATTGAACAGCTTGATGGGACAAGACATACACTTGCTGTGTGAACAGGCAGTGAACAGCTTGTGAATGGAATAGGTTGTGAGGCTTCAAAAAGTTCAGGGGAACAAGCTCAGGGGACCCAGCCTGAGCTGACCCCACAGGGGCCGCGGCCACACGGGCCCGGCCAGAACCCGGCCCCTTGCAGGGAGGGCAGATGCGGCAGCACCGAAGGCTGTGCTTCGACACCGCTCTGCGGGTTAGGGGCTATCGAGAAGAGTTAAAAAACAAGACACTGGATAGCATACCCAGGAATTATCACCTTTGTTTTCTGAGCATGAACCCATATATTTAGATGTTATCCTTGCACCGTTTTACATATCCGTGTTTCCTCAACACAAGAATAAATCCCTGTAATAACACATCAGATTTGTCATTTAGGTGGTGCCCAAAACCCCACTGAAAATTAGAGCTGACTGCAATTCCACGGGGGTAGGTGGATGGGAATAAATTCCGATTTCAGCAATACTGACAGTGGGGAAAAAAATATAAAAATCTTATTATACATACACTGTTTCAAAAAATTAAATTATTTTTTCTTAACTGCAATGGTGCACTTCAGGGAACACTGCATTAAGGGTATCTAAATTATTCTGACACGCCATTTATTATACTCAATTTTATTTCTACACAATTTAACACAAAATAAGTCATTTTTATAATGCAGTTTGTCATGAAAACTACTTAGTAGGACACAAAAGAAGTAATATTACTCGGAAAAATTCAGCAGTTGTCTGCCTTTCAGCACTAGCTGTCACAACAGAAGAGGTGCCATTATTGTATAATAGTGTATTTTTGTAGAGGTAAGGGATTACGGAAGAAACAAAACCCCACAGGACAAAAGCACCACGCTGCTCCTTCTCAGAGCTCCAAAACTGAAGCAGGCAAGGTAAACAAGCTCTGCTTTGCTGAAGGTGCAGCACTGACCTTTGAAGCCAAGAAGAATCCAGAATTTCATGTAAGACAGTGACCAGGTAAGTTTTAAAAGGAACCAATTTTATGTTTAACGCTACCTGGGCATCGTATGGCAGGAGAGAACAACACCTCCTCAAATCCAGAGCACGAGCAATGTCTCACCCTTACTGGTAATATCACTCAGGCACAGCGGTGATCTGTTTAGTTGGTAACTCACAAGTGTCAATAAAGCCCCATCAAACCTTATTGCTACATTTGTTTTATAGCTGGGAACAGAAAGGCAGAATGCCTGAATTCCAGAAACAAACACGGTCCCTAAAAACCTGGCCACCAGGATTTTTTGTCTCTGCACCACAAAGAAGCAAGTTTCAAATTCAGGGGAAAGCTCTTAGTATCCATTTCTCAGTTCTTAATCAGAATGACATCTAATAAAAGAAAAAACCAGCGCCAGCTAACTGAAAGCAGCATCAATCCAAGACGGTAAATACGCCACCAGATAATTAACCAACAGACACAAGCTTTACTCATTAGTTGTATGGTTTATTTAGACAAGACAAAAAGCTTGCACAGTTTTGCAACTGTATGCAGAAATGAAAACTTCCGAAATATATTAGCTTTTTTCGCCTGTACATTTAACTTGGCTCTCGGAAAAGTGAGTTGTCGTCTTTTTTTTTTTTTTTTTTAGGATTCACGTTTCAGCAGTACATATGCTCCCATTACTGCCAGAAGAGCATACTCCAAAAGAAAACAGAAAATAAAGACTGATTATAATTTCTCTTCATAGAAGCTCTGAAATCAAACTGTTCAAAGTGTGCCCTCTCTAACACTACATCTCCTAGATAAGTACAGAACCCTGTTCCTACAGAATTATGGGAATATTTCAACATGATCACACTTATCATAAATAGGAGTCACAGCTGTATACACTTAAGAAATTCTATAAATTAAACGTTTTCAATTTATTATAAATATTAAATTCTACCGGATACCAGACAAGTTAAAGTAAGCAAGAGAACACAGCTCATTCTACATTAGGTACCAAACCACAGAAACAAATTTATTAACATGCATTCTTATATGCAAGATTCTTGCTATCTTCACTTGCTATTTTATAGATTTGAATTCAACTACTCAAAATGTCTGTATACGTACCTTAAATTTGGGATAGTCATTCATTATTATAGTTACCATACCAACGTAAGGCAAAAATCTGTAATCGACAAAACAGATTAATGTAAAAGTGACCCTCAAACATCACATTGAAACGTTTCGGTGTTACTCTTGAGTATTTTAGGGTAAACCAATTATTTATGCCTGTCACTAACGCATACCTTAATGAGAAACAGATTTTTTTTTTCTTAAGACAAAAATTTAATCACAATATTTGACCAAAGAAAATAAACTTAAGAGATTTAATTTCAGCTGAGGAAGGGGACAAAGTCAAAAGCTCAAACCTCGCAAAAAATTCCTGTGGAATGTAGAAATAATTTCCCAACAATTTCTAGAAATTACAGAGGTAAGTTGGTTAATTTCATATTTACTGATGAATTATTTGTTAAGTGTGCCATTTAAAAAAAAAATAATTTCCACTGTACACATCAGTGAGAGGACTACAGAAAACAACTTCTCCAGGTAAAGCAGGGGATTTTTTTAATTACCATTTTCTTTAAGCAATTAAAAACCATACCATACCAGACTGAGTCTGTATCAAGAGAGGAACTGCTTTAAGTTCTGAATTTTCTGTTTAATTACAAAGAACATAGACATTTTGCATTTCTTACCCTCTTGCTCTTCCAACAACATCCTTCTTCTCTAACCAGTTCTGACCTTCTTTGTACAAGCCTCGATCATCAACTTCATTATTGTCACCTTTAGTCAGAAATTTGATGTTCCCATTTTCTCTAGAAGGCAACGAGGTGATAAACTAAACGCCACTTAATTTAAAAACCACAATTAACAGCTACCAAGCACAACGAAGATGAAAAGTGCTACAAGATTAGATAACAATGTTTACTTCCAGTCCTACTGGCTTAACAAACACCACTAAATAATTACCATTATAGACTTTACTGATGGAGTCGATAAATTTTAACAAGAAATGCTTTTAAAAACACTCCAGATTGTCATTTGATGTAAACAACTACAAGACAGACTTCCCAAGGATACAGCTCTCCCAGAGCAGGCGCTGAGTAACAAAAGCAGTATGTGCCCATCTGGGGAAAAAACCAAACCAAAACAAAACCTCCCCACGTCGAACAGAAGAGAAATTTAACTCTGAAATACTGAAGAATACTCTACTAGAGGCTTTGGGGGTTCGTTTGTGGTGGTGGTTGGTTTCGTTTTTTTCTCCATTGTTTACACATTGTGGAACAAGATCCCGTGAAGTTATCGCACATTAGAGAATGAATTTAAATCACAAATTTCAGATGAGGTAGACCCTAAATCCTCCCTTAGGAAAGCGGCATCATAACACAAGGCTTTTCGGACAGCTTTTCCTGCTCTGAACCCAAGCGACTCCGCTGAGGGTCAGGAGCCAGGGTCTCAAGAAGTGACACCCAAGGGGGGACGTGACTTCTATCTGACAGCAGATCCTCATTTGCCTTTTCCACACCATGCTACTAAACCAAAATGTAACCGAAAATCATGGTGGAGGAAACGATAGGTAGAAACAAGGAAAAATCCAAACCGCATTACTTTTCATGTATTTTGATTACTCTGTGAACTATTGGAATGTCTCTGCCTTCAACTTTAAAAACAACTATTTCACCAGCTCTGATTGGGTCATCATGGAAATTTGTAAGGAACAACAGGTCTCCCCTGTGAAAAGCTGGTTCCATGCTGCCACTGCAAACAAAAGAAAGAGAGAGTTTATTAGCATTAGTTATTAAGTGAACAAATCTAGATTTTCAAAGGTTTTCACGTATCTACTGGTTCTACAAACTTCAGTAAAATCTGGACTGTGATCACGAAAGCAGCTTTTTGCAAGTGCCCAAAACAGAACTAGGTAAAAGTAAGTGTTGGAGTACTTCTTTAAGCAGGTGAGATTTCACACTCCAAATCTCCCAGAGGGGGAAGGAGAGGAGAAAAAAGACAAGACAATATCTGCACTTTAACACAAAAGCCTTCACACTCACCTACCTGAGCACCACAACAATTGGGCTTTCACTCCCAGTAATGACAATCAGTCCTTTCCAGATCATAAGGGCAGATGACACTATCATAGCAAAATTTAAGACCTGGTAATAGAGCTATACAAGAGAAAAAATGGGTGTTAAAAGGTGACCGTGTTGTATTTAGAAGTACAACATAAAACTTCAACCTATGTACGCCAAAGAGTCACCATCGAGGCACAGGGACTGTTACGCCGAAGTCATGTTCCAGCAGAAGCCTAAGGGAACAGATTGCCTTACGGGCAACCCAACCGCACGGCAGCGAGAAAACATATGCAGCATCAAAACACACCTCCTCTGGAGGCTCCATTTCAGCTGATTTCTCCTGTGCAACACTTCCAGCTGTTAGTGCTGGAAGCTACGAACTCACCAGCAAAGACTTCTAAAATAGAGGAAGCTGTAGGTAAGTGATCAAATCTATTTTGCTCACATCCCTGATGCCTACACCTAAGAAATAGCACAAGATCAGTAATAGTAGGGTTTTTACTTCGAGAAACTATTTTTGTTTAAAAGGAGGAGCTGTAGGAGTAAAAGGGAGATCATAAGGGATCATTTCCTGTTATTGTCAGGCAGAAATTTCATATGTAGAAAATCTTTTACTGATTTGACTAACTTTCTGCCCCCAAACTCTATTGCTTTGCCAGTCATTTTCAGGTAATGAAATAATTTTTCAATCTTCGGGATTTTCAGGTGTATAACCCTCCTAACTTAGCACTGGTCAGGTTTCAAAATCTACTCTGAATTATTCTTTTACTATTCTTAAATGGCTGATTAAAAACTGGTAAAAGAAAACCCCAAACCAAGGAACTTTCACAGCCGGGTTCTGCACCCACGGACGCGGGAGTGCTGGGGAGCCCAGCTCCTCCTCAGAGATCTTCGGGCCCCGGGGCCGGGCCCCCGCCCCAGTCCCAGTCCCGG